GCGCAAAATCTTGCCAATGTAGACATAGCCTAGCTGTCTCTAGTGCTAAAAGCCATGAATGTCCCCAGCTAGATATAAAAGTTTTTTTTAAAAAGTATATTCTGTTTTTCCACTTGTCTGAGGATCATACTTAGTACATTCATGAGAATTTCTGAAGTGCATGGGCATCTGTTTGCACGTGTAAAATCTAGGCATATCTTTGCATTTTAATGACTAGGATTGTACAAGAGGAGACTGGGTGGAACTAGCTAATAATGTGGCCCTAAAATTTCTTAGAATCCAAAGTCCATTTATATTAGAAAAAATATGGTCTTGAATATTGAGAGAAGACAACTGATCCCATTTCCTTTGGGAATTCATGTGTATTATGGGAGGATCTTTGCAGCATACCTTGTCTAGGGTCTGTTTCAACTTTTTAATTTTGTATTAAAGTTGGTCGTGAGACATTAAAATGTTTTATTTCTCAAGACATTTGGAGATTTGTATGTACAGTATTGTGATCAGGGCCCCTCTGTCCCCTGCCAGCCCCTGCACTTCTCCCCTTGGCAGGATGGGCCTTGGCAAATAGAGGATGCTTTACCTGTGTCTGGACAGTCAGCCTTCCCCTTAGTAGAGGGTTGGGCTTGTATTCTTTCTCTGATATAGAGAGTCCAGCCTGTCCTTCTGGAGCTCCTCACTCTCCTTCTGTCTGTTAGCTCAGTAAGTGTATGTCTACACTATGGGACATGGTCAAATTAAGATACACAATTTCAGCTATATTTATTGTGTAGCTGAAGTCAGAGTACCTTAACTCAACTTTTGGCGTTTTCCACACTGCAGGAAGTCGAAGGGAGAACACTCTCCTTTCAACTTCCCTTATTCCTCATGGAGGTAGGTCTATTGGCATCAACCAGTGTGTACCTCTCAGTTCAAATTAGTGCATCTTCACTAGGGCTGCTAATTCCAACCCTGGAAGATCAACATCTTTGATCCTCTCTGTAGTGTAGACGTGCCCTAGCTGTTAGTATTTCTGTCTACCCATCCCTGTTCTCCCTCCACCTACCAGGGAAGGTTTTTAAAAGGTCTCAGGCAGGCCTGAAGTGGAATCAGCTGACCCTAATTGATCCAAGACAGTGTCCCAGTTGATCCTAATCTGCCTGAGACAACCTCTAGTCAGCTGCTCCGGCTTGACCTTCAGTAACCCACTTCTAATTAACAGGGGAGTTAGCTTTTTACCCTTCTAGGGCTGCCTTTTCCCATTCTGTTGCTGCCCTCTGGTTTGACTTTGTCACTATATATATCTCCTTGAAGCCTACTGGTCTTCTAAAACAGCATATTCATCATAGAAGAAAAAATCTTACAATATACCCACAGCTGCCTTTCCAGTGGATGTAGTCTCTCTGAGGATTACCATCTGTTCCAATTATCCCTTCATTGTTTTTAGTGTAAAGCACAGCAGCTTTATAACTGCTATGACATTCTTGCCATACATTTATTTATTATTTATTTGGGAGGATTTAAAAGTTTGGGTTCATTCTTCTCAGCCCAGGAACTTTTTTCTCACATAAGCAGTGGAAAAATATTTCTCAATATCATTTCTATGGAATTTTGGCTAAGATGGGGGCAGTGTGCAATAGCCTGGGGCAGGTGTCCTTCCTCAGTGGCTCTCAGCCTTCCCAAATGACTGTAACACTTTCTGGAGTCTGAATTTGTCTTCTGCATCCTAAGTTACAACTCATTTAAAAATGATTTGCTTACAAAATCGGCATAAAAAGATAAGTGTCACAGCCCGCTGTTACTGAAAAACTGCTTGCTTTCTCATTCTTACCATATACCGTAAAATCTGTGTTATCCAGCACGCTCAGGGACTAGGACATGCCAGTAATCTAAAAATTCCAGCTATCTGAGGGG